AAAAAGAAAAAGTACACTATTATAACCTGTGCCAGGCAAGTATAAAAATTATATAACAAATACAACATTTGCATATCTCTAATAAAACGCTTTGCGACCATATGACCGACTCCGGAATATTTGGTTTCGATCTCGAACTCAGGACCTATCCAAATTAGTAGCACCATATCCGTCGAACACGTGGTTGTAATCTACTCGGCTTTCCGGATTTGGGATATAAACAATATCAATCTTTTAAAGGGGTAAGCCAAATCCCCACTTTTGAGGAAAAAATTTTTTGAAAAACTGACAGAAGAAAAAAATGCGAGAAGAGAGTTGCAAGTACTTTTAAAATTTTTAAACAAGTGTGTTGAAAGAGCAGAGCTTCTTGTTGTTTCCCCTGTGTTCTCCATTGAAGTAACGACCAAACAGCTTCGTCGACGGAGTTGGGCCTCCCTACCCATACTCCACCAAGATTTTTTATACAAAAGCACCACCTGCCAGTTATCTTGTATAATAATGCTCCTAGCTTGCATGCCGAATGTCCTTTTTTAGAGGAGTCCCCAAGAGTATAGTTGACCTCTAGACAAACTACTGTATAGGCCACGACTCTCCAACAAGTAGTTTTGGTTTTTCTTTAGCAGAAAATTTTGGTCCAGGTGATCGTCAGGAAAAGTTGAAAACTCAACTATTAGATCTATATTTATATCTTTATATTGGTATTAACTTATCTATATTTAAATAGAATGCTAACTTTGGGGCTTCAATTTTATTATTATTAAAAACTGATAGCAATATATATGTGAGTGCTGCCAAAGGAAAACCTGTCATTGGGTTTTCCATTATATCTTGTACCAGACACAATTTATCTAATTATTGAAAACTTGATGACAGGTTTTTCTTTGGTGGCACTCATATATTGCCGATATGCAAATTGATATTATTTTTTTCTCTTGCCGATATGCAAATTGATGTTATTTTTTTCTCTCAATTTTCTTTTTTTTTTGTTTTTTTTTTTTGTTACTTTTTTTTTGTTACTTTTTTTTTTTTGTTACTTTTTTTTTGTTACTTTTTTTTTTTTTTTTGTTACTTTCTTGTTACTTTTTTTTTTATTTTTTTTTTGTTACTTTTTTTTTTGTTTTTATTTTGTTTCTTTGTTTTTCGTTTTTTTTTGTTTCTTTTTTTTTTTATTTTTTTCTTTTAACTTATTTAAATATTTTCACTCTTTAGCTTAAAGAAATTTTGTGGGCATCAGAAAGAGTAGTAGCTGCAAGAAGCACTAAGTACACAGACTAATTCTGATAGAGAAATGGTCTTTTTTTGGTGGACCAAACCTCTAACCCACCACCCAATACCCCAAACTGGATGATTTCCCTGACATATTTTGGCCGTGATACAGAAAATAATAAAAATGATCTCATATCAGAACCTGATAGCGATGATAAAACAACAGCAGATAGTGACTACGAGCCCATTGCTGGGCCAAGCACTAATTTACCCAAAAAAATATATATAACAAGAAATAGAGGCAAGAAAGTTTATATAGAGTTTGATGTTGCCCGGTCATCCCCAAGTAATTAGGTTTGTATAGTCTTTTTGGTTTAATTATAACTAAATAATAAAACTAAAAAAAAAAAAAAAAAAATTTGGTCAACCAGCTACCTTTGATAAATATAGCAAAGGCAAATAAAGAGAGATCAATACCGGTAGAACAAGTAAGAAGCCAGTTAATTTATTAATTATATATTACTAATATTGATATATATAAAATTTTTATTTATATATATCGATTTTTTTTTACAATTAGCCACCTTTGCCACCGGAGGGTCAAATACTTCTGGTATGTATAGGTTAATTTTTATTAAT